CTTAAAGCTCAACATTCAGAAAACTAAGATCATGGCATCTGGTCCCATCACTTCATGGGAAAGAGATGGGGAGACAGTGAAAACAGTGGCTTACTTTACTTTTTCGGGGCTTCAAAATCACTGTATATGGTGATTGCAGTCATGAAATTAAAAGATGCTTACTCCTTGGAAGCAAAGTTATGACCAACCTAGACAGCATATTAAAAAGCAGAGACATTATTTTGCCAACAAAAGTCCGTCTAGTCAAGGCTATCGTTTTTCCTGTGGTCATGTATGGATATGAAAGTTGGCCTGTGAAGAAAGCTGAGCACTGAAGAATTGATGCGTTTGAACTGTGGTGTTGGAGAAGACTCTTGAGAGTCCCTTGGACAGCAAGGAGATCCAACCAGTCCATCCTAAAGGAGATCAGTCCTGGGTGTTCATTGGGAGGACTGATGTTGAAACTGAAACTCCAATACTTTGGCCACCTGATGCAAAGAGCTGACTCAATGGAAAAGACCCTGATGCTGGGAAAGATTGAGGGCAGGAGGAGAAGGGGATGACAAATGAGATGGTTGGATGGCATCACTGATTCAATGGACATGAGTTTGGGTAAACTCTGGGAGTTGCTGATGGACATGGCGGCCTGGCATGCTGTGGTTCATGGGGTCTCAAAGAGTTGGACTTGACTGAGCAACTGAACTGAACTAACTGATGTGTCTAGTCATATGTACAGATATATAATATAAATATTTAAAAATAGCTTATTTTTCAATTTTTATAAGACCTCCTTTATATCTTTGTTCTGCAAACTATAAATCAGAGGGTTTAACAAGAGAATCACAAGGGTGTAAAACAATGAGGTCATTTTGTCTTGATCTAGAGAATAGGAAGAACTTGGTCGGAAATTCATGAAGAGTAGAGTTCCCTGGAAAATGACCACTGCAGTTAGGTGGAAAGTGCAGGTGGAGAAAGCTTTGAACCTCCCCTCAGCAGAGTGGATCTTCAAGACTGAAAGGATGATATAACAATAAAAGACAAGAACGCCTGAAATTGTACTCAGCTCAATGAAACAGAAAACAATAAACACCATCAGTTCACTGACCTGTATATCAAAGCAGGAAAGGAGGAAAAGTGGAGGTAAATAACAGAAGAAATGGCTAATCACATTTGACCCACAGAAACATAAGTGGAATGCTGATGTTGTGTGGATCAAGGCATCTGTCATTCCAACCAGGTAAACCCCAGCCATGAGCAGGGAGCATACCCCACTGGACAAGCTGACTGCATAGAGCAAGGAGCTGCTGATGGCCTTGTACCAGTTATAGGCCATCACTGCCAGTAGGAGACACTCAGAATCTGCAAAGATACAGAAAACCAAGAATTGCAGAGCACAGCCACAGGAAGAGATTGATTTATTCTTGGCAAATAGGTCCACCGGCATCTTTGGGCCAGTGACTGTGGAATAGCAGAAGTCACAGAAGGAGAGGTGGCTGAGGAAAAAGTACATGGGTGTGTGAAGCTGGAGATCCATCCTAATCAGGGTTATCATTCCAAGTTTTGACAGAAGATTGATGAGATAAGCAAAGAGAAACATGGTAAGTAGGATCACTTTGTTCTCAGTGTTATCAATAATTCCCAAGAAAATGAACTTAGTAAAGGAGAAGCAATTCTCTCTACTCAGCCTTCTTTGTTCTTTTCTAAAGTTTTAGCAAGTGATCAAGAAAATGACACATGGATGTGAAACACTTTTGCACATATGCAAAATATCATTAGATGGAGCATGATTTTTTTCTATAATTATATTTTTATATTTAGAAAATAATTCATGTAATGTATATGTACTCTTGAAGAGGGACAGCTCTAAATAAGCAGTAATAAAGTTGTCTGGACTTGAGCTTTGAGAAATAGTGATGTAAATTTAGATGTCATTCATGAGGTATGCTACTTTCTACAAGCTCTTCTCTGAGCATTATTTTCCTTATTTCAGTGGGTAGATATCGATAAATTTCACTCTCCAAAGCAGAGACATTACTTTGCCAACAAAGGCCCTTCTAGTCAAGGCTATGGTTTTTCCAGCGGTCATGTATGGATGTAAGAGTTGGACTGTGAAGAAAACTGAGCCCCAAAGAATTGATGCTTTTGAAATGTGGTGTTGGAGGAGACTCTTGAGAGTCCCTTGGACTGCAAAGAGATCCAACCAGTCCATCCTGAAGGAGATAAGTCCTGGGTGTTCATTGGAAGAACTGATGCTGAAGCTGAAACTCCAATACTTTGGCTACCTCATGTGAAGTGCTGACTCATTGGAAAAGACCCTGATGCTGGGAAGGATTGGGGGCAGGAGGAGAAGGGGACGACAGAGGATGAGATGGCTGGATGGCATCACTTACTCAATGGATATGAGTTTGGGTAAACTCCAGGAGTTAGTGATGGACCAGGAGGCCTGGCGTGCTGCGATTCATGGGGTAACAAAGAGTCAGACATGACTGAGTGACTGCACTGAACTGAACTGATCTGAACTATCTCTTCAAAATAATATGTAAGGACACCAGTGTTAGAGAAGACAGGTTTAAGCATGAGACTAAGCATTTTCTATGCTTGAAAATATTCACGAGTACAAAAAAAATGATTAGAAAAAATAACTACAAAATTTATGTTTCTCAAAAACACATGATCACTTTAAGAGTCTTTAACTTAGTTCCAGAAACAATGAGTATAACACTGACTAGCATTAATAAAAAATAATTATAGTACAGATTTTAGTTTAGGTTGTGTTTATTATTTGGAGATACATGAAATAATTATTATCTACCTTTTTTCTAGAAATTTGTAATTGCTTTCCCACAATGCTCTTTATCTCTTTTTGTAGTGGTTGTAGTCTAGGGATGAATCTATTGACCAGTGGACAAAAAAAGTTAAAAGGAAGTAAAAGCAACAGAATGTACCACATACATTTGAATCATTTTAGAGTTTAAATCACCTTTAATTTAATAAAATGTAAATGAAAAGACTGACAATAGATACTTCTAAAATACAGACTTCTATCTATGTTATATGTATGTATTTATGTGTGTGAATGTGTATATATATATTTAATGTATCTGAGAATAGAATATAAGCAATAGACTTTTTCCTTAGACCTAAGTAAACAGGGTATATGGTTTGCTTGGCGATGAATTTGTACATGTTTTTATTTTTACTGTGGTGCATACACTATTTTTTCAATAAAACAATATATACCTTAAATTGTTTTTTAATACTTAACAAATGATAAAAAGAGTAAAGTCTTACCCATGAACCAAGAACAAAATGAAATAAATTAAAGTAGGTGTGTGTGGAATTAATAAGCTCAGACTCATTCAATTCTGAGAGGAAAATATTATTACTAGCCATTAAATGCAGATTTTGGAGAATAGGAAGGCACAAAATATTTCACTTACTAAACTGTGTCTTTCTCAAAAAGTTAAGTATTTTCTCCTATATTCTTTAAGTTAGGATCTAGAAACCTGCCTGAGATGAGCAAGGCTTGAGTAGCTGCACAACAACCAGTGAGTGTTAAGTCACTCCGTGTCCAGCTCTTTATGACCCCATGTGACCTTCCCTGGCTCCTCTGTCCACGGAACTCTCCAGGCAAGAACACTGGAGCAGGTTGCCATTCCCTTCTCCAGGGAATCTTCCCCATCCAGGGATCAAACCTAGGTCTCTTGCACTGCAAGCAGACGCTTTACCATCTGAACCACCAGGCAAGAACAACAGGCAGATGGCCTTTCATTCTACCAGGTACATTGGGATGTAAATCCTGGTGCTACTGCTGTTAGGCTTTGATGTTACACAAACACTTCATTAATTGTATTTCTGCTTCTCTATATTCCCTTGAGAATTCAGAAACAACTTAGCACCAGCTGAGTTTTTGTGCTTCACTGCTGTTACCAAATTGCCCTGTGTTAGGAAGAAAGCTGCAAATTTTAAGACTGCTTGACAGTTACCCTGAAACTATTTTCTCCTTCTCTAGTAAAACAGGAAACTTAAGGAAACTCAAAAATAATCCCTCCCTCCATCACTTCTAACTTCTTTGCATTATTCATTGTGTTTTTGAAACATTCTCCTTCATACCTCATTTAGGAGTATAACTACACTCCAATTGTATTTTCTTTTATATTAAAGTATAATACTTATATTACATATGTCATAAAATTCACCCTTTTAATGTATATAGGTTTTTGTTTTTAGTTTTATCGTGTTTTCAAGGTTTTTCAGTCATCACTACTATCTACCTCCAGAATATTTTCATCAGTTCAATATGAAATCCAAACCTATTAGATCTCATTCCCTGTCCCTGCTGACCCCAGCCCTGGCAGCCACCAATCTATATTCTGACTCTGTGAAGTTTCTTATTCTTAGTCTTGCATATAAACAGAATCATGCAATGTGTGTTGTATTTTTTCTTCTCTCAGACTTTTTTTCTTCAGTGGAATACTGTCAAGGCTCATCCATATTGTTCATGTGTCAGAATCAGAATTCTGTTTCACTGAAGGGCACAATAATATTTCATTGTATGAATATTGCACACTATATTGATCCATTGTTCAATTGGATAAATGCTGGATTGTTTCTGCTCTTTATCTGTCATGGATAATAATGCTACATTATTCTTGTCAATACTAACTTTCAAGGCAGCCATCACCACCAAACATTATCTTACTCCTATTATCCAACCACATACCAAAGGATATTTCATTGACTTTATGTCTCCCTCACATTCTCAAAACAAGGCAATTTTTTTCTGAGTTAAATTAATTTGTTTATGTAAGAATCTCTGTACTAAAGTTAAGGCCTCAGAAATTAGAGCAATGCTTATTTTGTATTTTCTAAACTTCATGACATAAGGATTTAAAAAAATAGTACTTTCTAAATATTTGCCATTATGTATTTACGACTATTAAGGTAGAAAATAATGTGCTATGCTCAGTTACTCAATCATGTCCAACTCTTTGCAACCCCCTTGGACCACAGTCAGCCAGGTTCCTCTGTCCATGGAATTTTCCCAGCAAGAATACTGAAACTGGGTTGCTATTTCTTCCTCCAGTTGAACTTCCCAACCCAGGGATGGAAACTGTGTCTCTTGCATCTCCTACATTGGCTGACAGATTCTTTAGCACTGAGTCACCTGGGGAAATAATGTAAAAAATAGCAATAAACCTGATTTGAAAATTTTTCTACAGATATAGCTTAATTGTACAAAAAAGGTCTTAATGATCTGGATAACCACGATGGTGTCATCACAAAGTTAGAGCCAGACATCCTAGAGTGTGAAGTCAAGTGGACCTTGGAAAGGACTACTATGAAAAAAGCTAGTGTAGGGGATGAAATTCCAGCTGAATTATTTCAAATTTTAAAAGTGATGCTGCTAAAGCGCTGCACTCAATATGCCAGCAAACTTGGATAACTCACAAGTGGCCACAAGACTGGAAAAGGTCAGATTTCATTCCAACCTGAAAGAATGGCAATGACAAAGAATGCTCAGACTACCATGCAATTGTGCTCATTACACAAGCTTGCAAGGAAATGCTCAAAATCTTTTAAGCTAGGCTTCAACAGACATGAACTGAGAATTTCCAGATATACAAGCTGGATTTAGAAAAGGCAGATGAACCAGAAATCAAATTGACAACATCAGTTGGATCACAGAAAAAGCAAGANTGACAAACCTAGAGAATGTTTTAAAAAGCAGAGATATCACTTTGCTGACAAAGAGCCAAACAGCTAAAGGTATGGTTCTCCTAGCAGTCGTGTAAGGTTGTGAGAGTGGTTCCATAAAGAAGACCGAGGGCTGAGGAATAGGTGCTTTCAGATTGTGGTGCTGAGAAGACTGGGATCAAACCAGTCAATCCTGAAAGAAACAACCCTGAATATTCACTGTAAAGTCTGATGCTGATGCTGAAACTCCATTTCTTTGGCCATCTGCTGTGAAGAGCAAACTCACTGGAAAAGACCTTGATGCTGCGAAAGACTGAGGGCAGGAGAAGAAGGGGGCGGCAGTGTATGAGACTATTGGATGACATCACCAGCTCGATGAACATGAGTTTGAACAAACCCAGGAAGATAGTGGAGGATAGGAGAGCTTGGCGTGCTACAGCTCATGGGGTTGCAAAGAGTCCAACGTGACTTAGCAACTGAACAACAATAATGATATTTATATATAGATATAGATATCTCAAAAGTGAGGAAAATGTCTGAAAATCATGCATCTATATCTGACAAAGAACTTGTACCCAAACTTTATGAAAATCTCTCATCAATAATAAAAATCAAATTAGTAAAATGTACACAAGGGATTGAATAGATACTCTCACCAAGAATATATTTAAATAGCAAGGTTATGTATAACAGCTTGCTCAGCATCTTTACTTATTAGGGAAATGGCAATAAAGTAACAATGGGTTAAAATTTAAAATGCTGATTATGCCTAATTTTCTGTTTTATCTGAATTTTCATTTGGTATTTAACAGGAACACAGATTATATTCTTATTTGTTTGGGTTATATTTCTATTTATTTATTTTTATTTTGCTTGTTTCCTGCTTTGTCTTGTTTTTTTTTTTTTTATTTGTAAACCTAAGAAACTCATCTAGCAAAATTTCATATCATTAGTACATTTTTAATTTGGGAAAAATGATTCATAGGGACAATTGCTGATACCTTTTTAATGTCTTTGCCATTGCCATTCTTGATGTGATCAACCCAATACTCAAATATCAAATGCATTACTGTGGGGATATTGTTGAGAAAAAGCTCAAACCACATAACTAATTGCTAATAATTTTCCACTGGTTAAAATCAAGAAACTGATGCACATATGTAACAAAAGAATTGCAATATCATTATTAAACCTCTCTGGCACACATTTGCTGTATGTAGAATTGTCCTTGATTACCGAATTCTGTTTCAATTCAAATTAATTTTCCTTCAGGTACTTCCTGATCTTCTGGGATTCAAAAATCCCTTAAGTTGCATTGTATTCAACCAGAACCTGACTTTCACTTTGTAACAGCTCCTCAAGACCATGTAGACGATCATGCCTTCAATGCCCCACAAGGGGGCAGCACTTCTTCATGGCCCACTGCTTTTTTCCGGGAATTTCCTTGTTTTTTTATGTCGGATACTGTTGATTTCTGATGTGTTCGTTTCAGTTGTATGGATACATGATTCAGATGTGCATAGATGTTTGTTTATTCTCTTTGGGTTCATTTTCACGTATAGGTGATTACAGTGTGTTCATCAACTTTCCTGTGCTATTCAGTAGTTACTTTTGGATCATCTATTTGATACATATTACAGTGTATATGTCAATTCCAAACTCTTAATTTCTCCCACTGTTTCTGGAGGTTGGGGGCTCTGCAGAGGGCAACAGGCATTCCTGGTCCATTGTGGAGGCACGCTGCCTGCTACGTGCCCCCAGCTCCCTTAACCCCCGTGACACTCCAACCTCGGTCACAAGCCAATCAGGCTCCAAGGATGAGACACCAGCCCAGGTCACTATGGCCTAAGGGGAATAGAATCAACATTTCTTCTTCCATATTTTTCTGTTTTTACACTATGATTTGAACTGGAGTATATAGGTGAATTACAATTTTGAGGGGCTTTTTTTTGCTTTTCAGTCTAATGCAACTTTATTTTCTTGGTGACCAGACGTTTCTTTTCTAAATCTGTTAGGCAGTGTTTCTTTGGGAAAGAACTTCATTTGTATCCATTTTCAGATTACCCTAGTAGAGGTGATATCATATGATAGTTGTCTCTCCCTGTCTCCCTTACTTCACTCGGAATGATCATCTCCACTTTATTTTCTGTGGCTGGACTTGGCGTTATTTCCTACGTCCTTATTGTTGAAAAATATTGCATTGTGTACATGTGTCCCATCTTCTGTCTCCATTCTTCTGTAATTTCTACTTTTAACTTGCTTTCCAGACTTGACTATTGTACCTTTTTGGGCCAAGATTGCAGGGGTTCCAGTGTCTTTTAGATGTTTTTATTTTCTTTGGGTTTATGCCCAGGTGTGGGACTGCTGGGTCCTACGGCACTTGTGTTGCAGTGAAAAGGGGGAAAAGACGAATTTATTGCAGTAAAAAAGAGAAAGAGAGAGATGAGTTTTTCTCTTTCCCCTTCCTGAGAACAAAGGCAATAAAGAGAACTGTGAGCAGACCTGAACATTCCTAGACTTTTTTTTTAACTTTAGCCACTCCTAGCTTTGCATGTCTGTAGCCAAGTTTGCTTTCCTGCCCCTAACTCTGTAGGAACTACACTTTGCCCTATGTAAAATCTCCTCTATCCTGGGAATAGTTAAATCATACTAAGGATAATCAGTCTAATGACACTAGAAAACTGGGCTGGGTGTCTTATGGACAATGCCAGGAGATAGTTTCCCTAAAAAAATCAGGACTGGTATGGAACAAACTAAATCAGATGACTTAGGTATATACTGGGCTACACATAATGGAAGTTCTTGACTTAAGTTCTTAATGATTACATTATTATTGCTAGCTATATTGTTTTCTATATTGCCTGTTTCAAAAGTGTTGTCCCAAGCCTATTATACAGACTGAAGTAAGTCAGAAAGAGAAATACCGATACAGTATAGTAACACATATGCATGGAATTTAGAAAGATGGTAACAGCAATGCTATATGCAAGGCAGCGTAAGAGACACAGATGTAAAAACAGACTTTTGGACTCTGTGGGAGAAGGCGAGGGTGGGATGATTTGAGAGAATCACACTGAAGCACGCATGTTATCATATGTGAAATAGATCACCAATGCAAGTTCAATGCACTCAGAGCCGGTGCACTGGGACCACCCAGAGGGACGGGGTGGGGAGGGAGGTGGGAGGGGGGTTCAGGAGGGGGACTCATGTGCACCCATGGCTGATTCATGTCCATGTATGGCAAAAGCCACTACAATATTGTAAAGTAATTATACTCCAATTAAAATAAATTAACTTAAAAAATTATAAAAAAGTGTTGTCTTTTACATTATCAAGTACGTGACAAAATAATGATTATGTAGTGCCCCCAAACTATGGTCAGATTCATGACCCTGAAGGGGCTCTGCCATCTATCTCTACAAAGATTGAATCATGGCTACTGAAGCCACTGACCTTCAACACCCCCTGAAAGGACTTCAGGGTGGAAATTAGGAATGAGGCACTCTGTGCTCCAAAAAGAAAAAACTGCAGAAGAGGCCTTCTGATAGACATTTTTGGGAGGAGATTTTAATGACCCCTGCNACTCAGTTCAGTTCAGTTCAGTCTCAGTCATGTCTGACTCTTTGCAACCCCATGAATCACAGCACCCCAGGCCTCCCTGTCCATCACCAACTCCTGGAGTTTACCCAAACTCATGTCGGTGATGCCATCCAGCTATCTTATCCTCTGTTGTCCCTTTCTCCTCCTGCCTAGACAGCATATTAAAAAGCAGAGACATTACTTTGCCAACAAACGTCCTTCTAGTCAAGGCTATGGTTTTTCCAGTGGTCATGTATGGATGTGAGAGTTGGACTGTAAAGAAAGCTGAGTACCGAAGTATTGATGCATTTGAACTGTGGTGTTGGAGAAGACTCTTTAGGGTCCCTTGGACTGCAAGGAGATCCAACCAGTCCATCCTAAAGGAAATTAGTCCTGAATATTCATTGGAAGGACTGATGCTGAAGCTGAAACTCCAATACTTTGGCCACCTGATGTGAAGAGTTGGCTCATTGGAAAAGACCCTGATGCTGGGAAAGATTGAGGGCAAGAGGAGAAGGGGACAACAGAGGATGAGATGGTTGGATGGCATCACTGACTCAATAGACATGAGCTTGAGCAAACTCTGGAAGATAGTGAAGGATGGGGAAGCGTGGTGCTGCAGTTCATGGGGTCATAAAGAATCAGACACGACTTAACAACTGAACAACAAAAATATTCTTTAGATGAGTTATTATACTGTGTTTATTTACTGTTAGCTTTTTATTCAAGTTTTACTTACTGGCAGGCTAATAAATTAGGATATCCACTACTTTGAGGACTCTGTGAGAGTCTGAATTTGAATAAGAGGTGACACAAGAGCCATAATTTAAAGCCTTTGGTTTCCTGTAACACATACTATCCAAAGCTTCATGCCACCACTGTTGCAGGTTTATACAGCCTACATTAATAGTACAATTTTTTTTCTTTGAAGATGAAATGATTCCTTTTTTTTCCCCAACATTTTCCAAATTTCTAGTTCTTTTCAATAGTGGGAGAGGATTTAAACAGCAATAGAGTCATATATTATAGACAAAGGGTGTATCAGCTGGAGAGGACATTACAAGTGATCTGGTTGAAGTCCTTTTTTATACAGCGGGCTCAGTGGTATTGAAAAGTTTTGTTTTAAAGTTAGAGTAACTTTGCTAAATAGATCATCAGTTCAGTTCAGCACATTCGCTCAGATGTGTCCAGCTCTTTGTGACCCCATGGACTGCAGGATGCCAGGCTTCCTTGTCCATCACCAACTCCCTAAGTCCACTCAAACTCATGTCAAGTGAGTCAGTGATGCCATCCAACCATCTCTTCCTCTGTCGACCCTTCTCCTCCTACTCTCAATCTTTCCCAGCATCAGGGTATTTTCAAACAAGTCAGATATTTGCATCAGGTGGCCAAAGTATTGGAGATTCAGCCTCAACATCAGTCCTTCCAATGAATATTCAGGACTGATTTCCTTTAGGATGGACTGGTTGTATCTTCTTGTAGTCCAAGGGACTCTCAAGAGTCTTCTCCAACACCAAAGTTCAAAAGCATCAATTCTTTGGCACTCAGCTTTCTTTACAGTCCAACTCTCACATCCATATGTGACCACTGGAGAAACAACAGCTTTTACTAGACGGACATTTGTTGGCAAAGTAATGTCTCTGCTTTTTAATATGCTGTCTAGGTTGGTCATAACTTTCCTTCCAAGGAGTAAGCATCTTTCAATTTCATGGCTGCAATCACCATCTGCAGTGATTTTGGACCCCCCTCCAAAAAAAAAAGTCTTCCACCATTTCTACTGTTTCCCCATCTATTTGTCATGACGTGATGGGACCGGGTGGGCCATGGTCTTAGTTTTCTTGTTGAGCTTTAAGCCAAATTTTTCACTGCCCTCTTTCAATTTCATCAAGATGCTCTTTAGCTCTTCTTCACTTTCTACCATAAAGGTGGTGTCATCTGCATATCTGAGGTTACTGATATTGATAAATATTGGTAAATGGCTCATAGCACATTTCTAAAGAGAGAGATATCCAGGGAGGTGAAAATTTGCAGCTTCTGTCTTTAACACAGAACTTTGTGCTTATTGAATTGTTGAACATTCATATCACTATTTTTTTTACAAATATAGTTATACCGCCAATGACCCATATGTATCTCTCTATTTTTGACACTGGACATATACTCAAATCTATGTCATATTTGTACTTAAGTATTTCAGTGGCAGGGGCTTTTCTGATGTCTCAGAAGACAAAGAATCCACCTGCAATGCAGGAGACATGGGTTTGATCCCTGGGTCTGGAAGATCTCCTGGAGGAGGAAATGGCATGTCACTCCAATATTCTCGCCTAGAGAATTCCGTAGATAGAGGGGCCTGGCGGGCTCCATGGGGCCGCAAAGAGTCCAACACGACTGAGCAACTAGGTGCACACAGACATTTCAGGGGCAGGGATGACGGGATCAAGACACAGGAGTGTGACTGCAGTTTTAGTCCACTGACGGGGTTCCCAGGGGCACAGTGGTGAAGAGTATGCCTGTCAGTGCAGGAGACACAAGAGACACAGGTTCAGCCCCTCGGTGGGGAAGGTCCCCTGGAGGAGGAAACAGCAACCCACTCCAGGAGAGGTNCCACCAGTACAACGTCATGGGTGTAGGTGTCAGTGCAGGACAGAGAGAAGAGAGGGGAGATGTCACAAAAGAAATGGTTAATTTCATTGGAGCAGAAAGACAGGTGAAAGGTGTTAGTGGTGTGAATCACAGAGCTCACGGTGCCCCCTAAAAACGCTCCAATTGCAAGCTGGCGGCAAATCCTCTTGGACATAATAACAGTGTAAAGCAGGGCGTTGCAGATGGCTATGTACCGATCATAAGCCATGACAGTCAAGATAAAAGACTCCGTGTCCACCAAACAGCAGAAGAAGTAAAGCTGCGCAGCACAGCCGTTGTAAGAAATGGTCTTCTTGTCAGAGACTAAGTCCACAAGCAACTTGGGAGCAATGACTGAGGAGTAGCAAGCATCTATGAAAGACAAGATGCGGAGAAAAAAGTACATAGGGGTGTGCAAAGGGGGACTGACTGTGATTAATAAAACCATCCCAAGGTTCCCCAGCAGGGTAAGAGAGTAGATAGACAAAAACACAGCGAAAAGAACACTCTGCAGTTCTGGGTGGTCACTGAATCCCAAGAGGAGGGACTGTGTCTTCACAGTGATGTTCTCCACCTCCATTCTCTGCAGCGTTCCTGGAGGTTGGAGTTTCAGCAGGGTACCGATGGGGATGTTGGTAATAACCTGAAGAGTAGCTGAAAAGGAAAATAATTAAAGTAGTTAGAATAGTAATTCTAAATCCACTTGGGCACTGTCATAACACTTAGGCATAAGTAAAGTAAGTTTAGTGTAAGCATAGATTTTCAACTGAAATACTTTTTTTTAAATTAGTTAATTACTTTTTTAAAAAAAATATTTGGCAGAGACATGTAGCTTGCAGGACCTTAGTTCCCTATGAGCAATGGAACCTGTCTGTTTTATACTGAAAGTACAGAGTCCTAACCACTGGATGGGCAGGGAATTCCCTGAGATAGTTTATTTAATTATATTGATTATTTATACTTCTATTTCTTCAAGCTATATACATATATTTTTTTTATTATTATTATTTTTTCCCCCATTAAGTGAGACCCCATCAAACCAGTGGGTGAACTCTGAATTTCTTAATTTCATCAACTCTCTCATCTGTCACCAACGTCAAGTGATTGAGGTTAGTTACATTGCTACATAGCACACTGAGTAACTAGCCTCTGTTTCCCATTGTGGTGTTTTTATTTACACAACAAATAGATACATTTCTGTTTCTTGAAGCATTATATATGTAGAGGAGAAGAAGTTCTTTATTTCTTACCTTGAGCTGAGAATTTCCCTCTGAGGACTAAAGAAACTAGTTAAAGTTTCTTGAAATCCACTGATAAATAGAGGAGGTAAGATTCAGAATTAGTTATGTAAGTAACTGAATCATAACTCTGCCACTTAGCAGTTGTAAAGTCTTCGGCAGGCCAAGTAATCACAGAATTTCAGCTTCATCACCTATAAAATGAAAAGGACAGTGCCTTCCTCATCAAATTGTGTTAATTTTCTTCTAGGCTCAATATCTTCACCATCTTGTTTATTCACTGTTCTGAAGTTGGCCACAAAGTAATTCTGAGGAAATCCATACATCTACTTTATGTTATCTGAAATCCAAGCTATGAAATAGAACTAGAGAAATCCAAATACTTGCATATTTATTAAATTCATCTAGGCAATGCAATAATAATATTCAGGAATATTGGATGGCCCCTTTGATTAAAATGATAAAATATGTTATAAATTCTCACCTACCCACTTCTCCATGTTATCTCTGCATTTCCTTGTCATTGCTTTAGTCCACAGCTCTGTAAATTGTAGACAACCCATAGCCATGTAAATGACACTTGTCTATAGACAGGCACATTTGGCCCAGAATAGAGATAATTGATTTCTGTCCCTGCTGATGGTAACAATCCAGCTTTGCATCTATTTGTCAGTTTATTTGTGAATTCCTGATTTACAATACTGTGGTTCTTTGAATTATATTGTGTACATTTTATAGCATGTTATATATTGAATAAAGTAAGTAAAATCTTTGATGCCTATACATGCTATACACACTGTTCTTGTTTTTTAGGGGCTAAATAGTGTCTATTTCTTTAGGACTCCAGGGACTGCAGCATGCCAGGCCTCCCTGTACTCACTGTCTCCTGCCTTAAAGATAAGTATGTGTGCATATATGTTATATACACAAATATATTTTTCTTTAATAATTTACATTATTCATAGCTTCTACAAACTCAGTATTTAAACAACTTCAGATTTGAATACATTTTCATTTTCATCTCATATTCTCTGTCTCAGAACATAATCTAAGCACATTACCTAAATCTTAACCATCCATCCTATTATCAATTTGTTCCAAGTTCTTAACAAAACTAAATGTCTTTATTAACACTGTGTATACATTTAGAGTTAATAAGCACAACACAACTATTTGTGAAGCAATTTTTTTGGTATAGAAAATGAACTATAGACACGATAATAATTGTAGATTCTGCATTGCTCAACACCTATTTTTCTGCATCTGTTCTGTTTCTAGGTAGATTAGGTAAATTCTGGGTAAATGTGTTTATTTGACACTAATACATTTATTTGTGTCTTATAATTTTCAAAGTAAACTTTCTCATCTAATTTAATTCTCTCAGTTCTTTAAACAGGGCTAATCATCTCTCAGTTTTATGGAGAAGGAACTGATGGTTTCAGCCCTATGAATAGTCCAGGACTACACAGCTTTGCAATCAAAGATCAGGTCCAGAGTTTGGACATTCTGTACACTGGACATTCTTCAATAAACACTACTGTCCCAGAAATGGACATGTTAGAAATGGTGGAGCTTAGAAGGTTACTGTAAATAGTATAGTTATTTCCCAAAACTCAATGTGCTCACCTGCCAGGGAAGTCCTTAGTCACTTTTTCTTTTTTCCTTTTAATTTCTTTAAGCTTTTTATTTTGTATTGCGGTATATCTGATTAACAAACAATGTTTGGTAGTTTCAGGTGAACGGAGAAGGACTCAGCCATACACATGCGTGTATCCATCCCCCTCACACTCTCCTCCCATCCAGGCAGAGTAGGTCCTTGCTGATTATCCATTTTAAATACAGCAGTGTGTACATGTTCAACCCCAAATCCCATTCTCCTTCACCTACTTTTTTCTACTGGTAACCATAATTTCATTATCTAAGTTTGTACATCTCTTTCTCTTTTTTAATAAGTTCATTTGCATCAATCCTTTTAGATTCCGCATATAAAGGGTGTCCTATGATATTTCTCCCTCTCTGTCTGAATTACTTCACTCAGTACGACACTCTAGGTCCATCCTTGCTGCTGCAAATGTCATTATTTTATTATTTTTAATGGCTGAGTAATATCATTATTTTTTAAAGCATTTATTTTTCTTCTCCCTTAAAGTCAGCCCTCTTTTCTGCCTGAATCCTTTCACTTGTGTATTGACAGTTGTTGGTATCAATGCATTACCATAAGACAGGACAAATAATATAATATAAAAATCAGTTCAGCTTTAATTAATATACAACTTCTTCCATTCTTTAAAAATAAATAGTATCTAATAAGCACAGTGTTTAATTCTGATTCCTAGTCAGAGTCCAGCAATGGTGAGATTTGTTTTAAGGTTTGCTATTGTTGTTGTTTAGTTGCAAAGTCTTGTCCTTCTCTTTTGTGACCCCATGGACTGTAGCCCACCCGGCTTCTCTGTCCTAGCAGCTTCTCGGGCAAGAATACTGGAATGNATACTGGAATGGGTTGCCATTTCCTTCTCCAGGGGACATTCCTGACCCAGAGATCAAACCCACGTCTCCTGCATTGGCAGGCAGATTCTTTAACACTATCATGTGTCAAATGTTAGGTTTTTGTTTCTGCTGTTGTTTTTGTTAGATATATTTTCAGAAGTTAAAAACTGAATTCCCTAAGCATGTTTATTCTCAAACCATCAGTTTCTATGTGTAAAATAACTGAGCTTCCCTAGTGTCTCAGACAAGAAAAATCTGCCTGCAATATTGGAGGCCCAGGTTCGATCTCTAGGTTGGGAAGATCCCCTGGAGAAGGAAACAGCAACCCATTCTAGTATTCTTGCCTGGAAAATTCCATGGACGGAGGAGCCTGGTAGGCTACGGTCCATGGGGTCATAAAGAGCTGGCCACAACTGAGCGACTTCACTTTCACTTTTCACTTACCAGATTATTATCTTTTTCATTCATCTTCTTACTACACTGTTGCCCACATTCATTCATTTTTCACTGGAAAAATCAATTTAGCACTTAAAGATTTAAAAAGAAAAATTGATCCATTGTGTAATTTTTACAACCCATGTGGGCTGGTCTTCTCTGTTCATAGAAGAAATCTGTGCCTTCCTTAGGAAGGCTGCAGTTCTTTAGGGTAATGCAAGACCTTTTATATGTTGCTTTGAAGTTTTTGAGATTATCTTTCTAATCTCAGCTCTCAGGATCACACACTCTGATATCCAAACCCAATGGGAAAACTTACCTGAGCAATTAGAGTTCTGCTGAGGAGTTGAGTAAACGCAAAGGAGATGATGTAATGTGTTTTTCTATTTCTTAAGAACACCTCAGGCAAAAGTATATTATGACTTTCAAAATGGTAGATCATTACACATAAAATCGACGGGAATGTTAAGGCCTTGATGTGAATGTTAAGCACTCTAAGACCAGGAAGCAGCATCTCAGTAGTCATGAGAAAACCGCTCTAA